TATATATATATATATATATATATATATATATATATATATGTATATATATATATATATATATAATATATATAATATATATATATATATATATATATGTATGTGTATATATATATATATATATATATATATATATATATATATATATATATATATATATATATATATATATATATATATATATATATATATGTATGTATGTGTAATATATATATATATATATTATATATAATATATATATATATATATATATATATATATTTATATATATATGTATATATTTACTAATTTATTTGCTTTTTTTTATCCATTTATTTATTATCATTTTATTATTATTTTGTTACTGTTATTTTATGTTGTTATTATCACTATTTTTATTATTATTATAATTATTATATATAGATAAATAAATATATATATATATATATATAGAGAGAGAGAGGGGGAGAGGGAGCGGGAGAGGAAGAGAGAGAGAGAATTTTTTTTTTTTTCTTTTTCACCAGATTCATAGCCAAAAGCCAACTACTGTGTTCCTTTGAAATAGATATGCAGTTTATAGTGCATGTCTTTGAACATGATTATAGTGCTATACAGCATTTACCATAAGCATTTAGGAATTTTGAGTTATATATTGATATTACCACTCTTGTGTATCTTGTCCTAGTAGGGAAGTATGAATTAGAATGAATATCTTCACAATACAAGAGATGTACTTGACTGGTTTCGAATATATCTTTGTCAGAAATACATGTATTTCTGACAAAGATATATTCAAAACCGGCCAAATATATCTCTTGTATTGTGAAGATATTCATTCTCATTCATAACTCCCTACATTTGTCAATATGAATATGGTTCATCTTGTCCTAGATTTAAAAAAAAGACTGTCCTCTGGAATCCCGATATTTTTTTTTTAAATTATTGCGCATCTTTGTAGTTTCACAGTGGATAAGATGATAGTTGCATGAATAGTGTTTTACCATTTTGTTAATTGACTTCATTAATGCTAATGTTATTATTTTGTCTTTTGAGGATATTGTAGATGCTCCTTCTTTTCTTTTCCTTAGGCACACATCCTCGAAAATGTGATGAAAATCCCTGCCCATGTGCTCCTGCCGTCGGATGTCGAACAGCAGTCTCAAGCATCTGCATCAGATATTACATTGTTGCACACAGAGATGGAGAAACTTCGAACCCAGCTGAAAAATGTAAACATATGGGTGTCCATATTATTTCTTCTAAACAGAGTAGTACATAGGATTTTGGAAAAAAATCCTTTTGTCATATTTTACCCCAAAAAAATATGTTGTCTATAGATTTTTTCAATAACAGACTATTTATTGGTCACATTATGACATTTTTTGAAATTCTTATACAAAAATTTAATGATCAGTATTCATGTTAACTCCTGTTAAATAAGTGATAGCTTGTATTTTGTTCATAATTCATTTATCTTTATTTCCTCTCTTTGGTGCAGGAGAAGCTGATGCAAGCCAAGCTTAAAGACGAGCTGCAGGACATTGAACAGGTCCTGGAGGAACAACAGAAGATGAAGACCGAGGTGTTTAATGAAAGCTGGATGACGCAGCTTGAAGAGGCAAAGGAGAAACTGCTCTTTGTCCACGAGAATGACGAGGAGACCCTGGCCGTTGCAGCAGCCATTCAGAAGAAGGCGGCAGATCTTCGGATTAGTGGCAACACACCCACCGCCGTGCAGATCCTAACAACTAATATTCTGAAATAGTTGATGGCTTCTTTAGCTATTCCTGTGTGATCTTCATAACCTTCAAATTTGCCTGGCTGTAACCTATATTTTCAAATACATATTTTTTTTCAGAAAACTTATTCTAGTAACAAATTGTAAGCTTTAATGAATAAAAAGAAATTATTGCATATTAACCATGAGTTTCACCAACATTGAATTTTAGTGTTGATGCTATGTGTACTTGTCCCCAGGGTGGTTTTGTCTTATTAAGTGTATTTTTTTATATAGGTGGGTACCAGGAAACCTCCCCCCATCCTGGAAAATTCGAGGAATGGGGTAAATAAATAAGTTCAGCAAGTACTAATAATTGAGTCCTTGGTGATGAAATTCTCGTGAAACTTTTGAAGTGCAATTAAAAGTAATGAAATGAAATGCCAATGGACAGTATATGTACCAGTCACCTATGGAATGATAATGATATAAAACATATATAAACACATATATATGCACATCCACACATATGCATGTACGTATGTATGTGTTTTTTTTTACATTACAATGATCTCTCTCTCTCTCTCTCTCTCTCTCTTCTCTCTCTCCTCTCTCTCTCTCTCTCTCTCTCTCTCTCTCTCTCTCTCTCTCTCTCTCTCTCTCTCTCTCTCTCTCTCTCTCCTCTCCCTCATCCCTCTCCCTCTCCCTCTCCCTCTCCCTCTCCCTCTCCCTCTCCCTCTCTCTCTCCCTCTCTCTCTCTCTCTTTCAACATCATATAAAAATAACCGAATATTAAAGAAAGAGGTCATAGAAATTATAACAAGAATATATCATTCTTAATCATGGAAAATACACGACAAGACCGCGCGATACACGTCTTGACAGGAGCCGACAGATCTCGGCCCCGATTGCAACAAGTGCAGCGTGTTTCGTAAAAAAAAAAGAATACAGAAAAGTTCATTCCATAGTAAAGTACTTTACTACAGCTAGGTAATATTAATCTCTTAAAATCACATTAGATTTTAATGTTTAAATATTTTTTCATAATAAAAATGAAATTAAAATGTAAATACGTTCGTCGTCATTTTGTCTTGACTGAAGAATCAGGAACGATATGAATTAGTACACCTATTATATCATATAAAAATTTAATACACTTAACATCCATACCATCTAAGTCAACAATCAGATACATTTAAAGTTTCGCATCATAGACAAAAACAAAACCAAAAAAGAATTGCGCTCGTTGTCCGCCACATAGAGACACAATCGGCGCGAACAACAACACAAATCTCTCGTGATTTCACCCATTTTCATCTCTTTGCTTCTAAACAAATGATTTTCTTGCTTCTGACCACGCATTAAGGGCGGGTAAGACGCTGAGGTGTGTTGAGAACGGGTTTTGAAGGAGATTTAGTCGTATTTGATTATTTTTGGGGGAGAAATAAGAAGGGGGAAGGTGGCAGGTCTCGTTTCAAGATTTCTCCCTTGGTGAATTTCTTTGTTTTTCTCGTTTCTTTTTGATTGACGGGGTTTATGGGGCTGGGGAAGGGTGGGAAGCTAGAGAGAAGAGAGAAGATGTTTATTTGATGATGTTAAAGGAAAGGGAGGAATTTTGACTTAGTTTTAGAGTTTTTGTGGGTAAAAAAGGAGAAAAAATTTCATTGTCAATTCCATACTTATATATATGATTTTGGGTAATTATTATGTAATGTGATTAAAGCAGGTGACAGGTGAGATCAGGCCTGCTATGTCATTGGTACATGAAATACCATCATTTTGTATAGGCCTATTTTGATAGATTTTTTTTTTTCCTTGCAACTATGGGACAACAAACAACTTTGCAAGAACAAAAAAAACCATTAAAACTATACCTTGGAGTGATAAAGTATCCGAGCTGGTGTGTCATGAAGGCAGTTTTTGTCAAGTATGAATATATGAAAAGAGAACCAAAAAGGTCTTAGTACATGAAAAAAGAATATAAAAATGTACAGTAAAATAAGCAATATCATGGTAATATTATCTGTTATGAATGGCGATCACTGGTTAGTGTCTCAGGTTAATCTTTACGGTATGGACGCACAAAGTTAGGAAAAATTGAATCTGAAGGCCTTGTAGGGTACAAAATGTTGCAGTTGTCGGTACAAACACGAACGGCAATGCCACAAATAAAGGAAAAAGATTGTGGAAAGCGTCGCTCTCAGCTTAAGTCCATTTGGTGCTCCTGAGTTTCAGCTCTATCTTGCCTTTCATACCGTGGTGAAGATAATGTTTCCCAGGGGTTTGCCCCACCATCAACCCTCCCCATGAGCACGTTCAATCACGGCAACTTAGATTGATTAATAAAGTTTTTGATGTGGAGTTGGGGATTTAGTCTCTGGTGAGTGTATCCATACTGTAAAGAATTACCATGCCTTAAAAAAGATTCAGTCTAACTGGCTCGGCAAACATTCAGTTTGTCTCCATCTTGGAGGTCTTGGCTCATGTGTTACTAATGTAGACTTTTTTTTCTAGCTTCCATTTTGCAGTCATGGAAATAGGCCTTGTTCCTGGTGAGAGACATATACACGGCATTCATTTGAAAGGACATGTTATGAGAGAATGTTATTTCTTGTATTTTGTATTTGAATAGTTGGGCTTTGGTGTGGCATGCCTGAAAAAACTGTGGTAAAAAGAACAAGTGAAAGTAAATGAATTAAAAGCAAATACCTTGAATCTGGCTCGAAAATGTTGTGGTATGAACACATTCGGCAAAGAGTCAGAGTTATGCATACTTGATAAACTAAGGTTTATTTGAAAAGTTTTGTGGTTATTGATGTATTCTGAGATGTGGAACTTACATGTAGTATTTTGATACTACAGGATAGTCATGGTCATCATCATCATTTTTTGTTGTTATTATTATTGTTGTTGTTGTTGTTGTTTTTGTTGTTGTTGTTGTTGTTGTTGTTGTTGTTATTAATATTATTGATATTATTATTGCTATTATGATAATGATTATTATTATTATTGTTATTGTTGTTATTATTATTTTTATCATTATTATTTTGTGTGGAATTAAGTCCTGAAAGTTTCTTCAACAGAACTGCATGCGCCATTTGGTCAGGAGGATTGTTCATCCGGCTGGAGGGGTCAGTTCCTGATGCCAAAGGGGTAAATAAATCAAGAGTGCCACCATGCCCGAGGTTGTGCTTGAAGGAGTACCTGTGCGGTTCCCCTTCGAGCCGTATGAAGTCCAGAAGGCGTACATGAGCAAGGTGATCCAGTGCTTGCAACAGGTGAGTCTATGGTAGTGAAGATGTCTTTTGGCATCTCTCAAGAAGAACGTGGTAACCCAGCATTGATGAGTCACTTTCAAAATTGGTTTGTTGTGTTTATGTTTATATTTGTCGTTTGATTTGCTTTATCCTTGCATAGATTCCATATTATCTCTCTAGGTAGTCCATTACTCAGTCCAGTAATAACAACAATGTGTAACATTTTGTTATTTGTGTCAATTTTCTACAATACAAATTGTGCTGCTGGTTACGGTGGGCAGGGATAGGATCTTAGACATGGAAATAGCATCCCCTTTGGAGTCGGTGCTCTTTCAGTCATGGCTTACAGATGGTATATTCCATACTCATTTATTGATGGAAATAATGTAAAAGCCCCTTCCTAAATTCCCAGTGAGGCTAATCACCCTCCAAGAGCTTTGTGCACTCTTGGTGAGTCATTCCCATCACTCTGGCCATCAGCCAAATTTTCCTGTGATGGTTCAAGCAAGATATTTTCATGACATGATGGTCATGTCATCTGAATCATAGGGGTTAGAATACATATCTTGTACTATGAAGATATTCATTCTCATTTGTACCTTTTCTTATGTACATGAGTATTGTAGAGGAATTTTCCGCTTGCAATATTTTTGGTTTTCAATCATATTATCTTTGCACATATTTTGATATACCTTTCTCTCAATTGGCAGGGTGTTAATGGCATCCTGGAGTCTCCAACGGGCACAGGAAAGACTTTGTGTCTCCTCTGCTCAACCCTGGCCTGGCTGGAGGTCAAGAAAGCAGAACACAAAGCGCGCCTGCACAATGTCGCAGGGGGAGATGCTGATTTTATGTCTTCTCTGAGCTCGCAGCTGAAGGCAGGCTCTGGGTCAGCCTGGGGAGAAAAGAATGGTGAGTCAAAATGAGATGCGACATAGTGATGGTCGTTGATGTGAAATTGGCAGTCTTTAGGGGCAGAGAAGTGGGGAGTGGTTTTCACTGTGATTTTGTGTATTAAAGGCTTGGCTGAAATTTTATTGGTACTTCCTATTATTTGCATTTATCTTTGCTTTTGTTATTATCTGTTAGATAAAGTAATTACATTTTTTTTTTTTCACTTTGAATGAGAGCAGCAAATGGGATAGATAGAAGCTGATAGAATTCAGATGATGAGAATGGACTTGTTTTATTTTGGTTAAAGGAAACAGTTTTATAATTGCTTTCAGAAACTGATGCAGCATAATGTCCTGAGGTTACTAATGTCTATTATTTTGGACCTCCTTTTATGACAAGATTAATTTAGTTTTTTTTATAGGTATTTGATTTTATTCTGAGACGAGTAGGAAAAAAAAGATGTTTTGAATATGCACCTTTTTTCTATCAATATACTTTTTAGCTGGTGTTGAATATAGGTTTAGTCATTCAGTCTGTTATATCTAAAGGTCATAGATTTATTTCAGTCATATTTTAACTTAATTTTTGTTAATGTTTTATTTCTTGCACTATTGAAAATCAAATTTAAGGCATAGATCTTATTGCATACTAAGTTTTAATTTTGTTCTCTTCTATTTTCCAGCTCCACCTAAGATCATATATTCTTCGAGGACGCACTCCCAGCTCAGCCAGGCAGTCAATGAATTAAAGAGAACTACCTATAGCTATCTTAAGGTCAGTAGAGCTGGAGAATCAGGAGTACGTTGTTGTCATAAAATCTTTAGGTTCTAGAGAGCAATGAGAAAAATGAGGTAAAGTAGTGAAATTTTCTGTTAAATCTTTCATTAGTCAAGCATTGCCATATTTTATATTGTCAGTTTTTCTTTGTTTCTTCTCTTTTTTGGGGTTTGGTTCATTTTGTGTTTTATATCTTTTAATAAAGCAAACAGCTTCTCACACAATGACTGTCGCAGTAAACAATACTGTAAGAATATAATAGTTTTTCTATACATTAATGCCAAAGGACATCTTGACATCTAGGTGGCAGTACTGGGATCGCGTGACCAAATGTGCATCCACCCAGAGGTATCGAAGGAGACCAACAATAACAATAAGGTGCACATGTGTCAGCTGAGAGTCAAGGCCAAGACATGCTACTTCAACAACCAGGTTTGATATTGAATTGTCATGTTTGTGTGTGCAGTCTCTTGCGTGTATGTGTATATATATTCAATTGATACATGGCATTTCTACAGTATCTCATGTGCATGTTTGTTATAATGGACATTTATAGGCCTATATATACACAGTATCTTGTATACATGTGTGTTTACTGTACTCTGTACTGGAAACATGAGAGGCTTCTTAGAAATACTAATCATTCCTCAACTTTTTTTATCAGGTCGAAGCTAAGAAAGATGACCCAGAAGTACGTCAGAAAGCGCTTGACATTGAAGACCTGGTCAAAGTTGGCCGCAAGAAGACCTTCTGCCCGTATTACATGGCGCGAGAACTCAAACAAGATGCAGATATTATTTTCCTGCCTTACAACTATCTCCTGGATCCCAAGAGCCGGAAAGCGCACGGAGTGGAGCTACAGGTGGGATGTGGTTTTGTAATATCACTAGTTGGGCATATATATGTATGTGTTAAGACTTAATGTCGTATTTTTTCACAATTTCCTATAAATGGCTTTTCATGCTTATTATCGTAATATATCATGGTATTCTTTACAAGTTTGACACTTAAGAAGAAAGCAGAATGTCACAGGATTTAGGAATAAGTTTCTGTATGCTTCCTTTATTTTTGTTTTTTAGTGTTTTTTCCCTTTAAGTAATGCTTATTTATTTGTTTTTGATTTTAGTGGTAGTCGTAGTTATTAGTTTTTATATATCTTGATTCTTCTGTCTTCAGGGTAATATTGTGATCTTTGACGAGGCTCACAACGTAGAGAAAATGTGTGAGGAAGCTGCGTCTCTGCAGATTCGCTCAACAGACATAGCGCTGTGCATTGACGAAGTTACACAGGTGATTTATGAGTTGCTCTGTGTGTGTGTGTGTGGGGGGGGGGTTGTTATCTTTTAAACTACTCTTTAGACAGGGACTGAATGATTTTATGCATTTACTAATCGTTATGAAAAATTATGAGTATGGCCTGAATATTTGTAATGATAAACAAGACAATAATATTCTGAATGATATTAATAGTTAAGGGCATGGACCTATGTGAAGATGAACAGAGAAGTTGAAACATAATTGAAGAATAATATGAAAATAATGAAATTAAATTTATATGAAGTTTGACAAATTTTGAAATTAAATTTGTTAATTTTTGAAGTGAAATTTGTCAAATTTTGAAATATTTGTCTATATTTGAAATCAAATTTGTCAAATCCTGAAATGAAGCTTGTTAAATTTTGACATGGGAATTGTAAATTTCTTTTTAATGAAATTTGTCTTATTTTGAAATGGAAAGTTATTGGCCATAGATACCAATATTTATGTTTGTAAAAGTAACAGACAATTAGCTACAGAAAATTCAGATATCCATCCTGATGCAGAGACTTCATATTACACCCGTGGATTCCCGAATTTCAGGTCATGAAAAAGATGCAGGAGATGAGCGAGGGGTCGAACATCGCGGCCAACGACGTCTCCGAGGTGATGCCGGAGGACTTCAACGCCGATGATCTGTACACCCTGAAGGCCCTCTTCTTGGAGCTGGAGAAGGTGGGAATCAGGGGGGGGGGTGAATGAGTGTGTGTGTGTGTGTGTGTGTGAGGTTTGAATGAGTGTGTGTGTGAGGTGTGAATGAGTGTGTGTGTGAGGTTTGAATGAGTGTGTGTGTGTGTGAGTGTGTGTGAGGTTTGAATGAGTGTGTGTGTGTGTGTGTGTGTGTGTGTGTGTGTGTGTGTGTGTGTGTGTGTGTGTGTGTGTGTGTGTGTGTGTGTGTGTGTGTGTGTGTGTGTGTGTGTGTGTGTGTGTGTGTGTGTGTGAGTGAGTGTGTGAGTGAGTGTGTGAGTGAGTGTGTGAGTGAGGGTGTGTGAGTGAGGGTGTGAGTGAATGAGTGATGAGTGAATGAGTGAATGAGTGAATGAGTGAATGAGTGAATGAGTGAATGAGTGAGTGAGTGAGTGAGTGAGTGAGTGAGTGAGTGAGTGAGTGAGTGAGTGAGTGAGTGAGTGAGTGAGTGAGTGAGTGAGTGAGTGAGTGAGTGTGTGTGTGTGTGTGTGTGTGTGTGTGTGTGTGTGTGTGTGTGTGTGTGTGTGTGTGTGTGTGTGTGTGTGTGTGTGTGTGAGTGAGTGAGTGAGTGAGTGAGTGAGTGAGTGAGTGAGTGAGTTGTATTTGTTTGCAGACTAAGCCTTAGGGGACAGCGTGCCTTCTTGTGATCTTTTTACCCAGATTATTTTGCTATATACCTTTGAATGAGACTTCAGTTGATTAGGATGAATTAACAGTATATAATGATCTGTTACATTTATACTTACTTATATATTTACATATTTATACACATTGATGAATATATTAGATTTTTTTGCGTATAGATATCTGTTGAGGAATGGTGTTATCCTGCTTTCTGAATCATGCTAAAGTATATATTGATTTTAGGAATTTATGAAACTATTGAAATAAGCAAGTTCCTGTGACCAGGTGTTTTGGGTTTCTTTCCCCAACCTGACCTAATATATATTGAGTGACACTGATCATGTAATATATTTTTTGCTAATCGGCTTTTCTGTAAGGGGCATATACACGTAATAAGTGTCGATAAATTTGTTGATTTGTCTTGATATTTACCTCCCATGTTCCAGGCTATTGACAGCATACCAATCAAAATGGGTGACACCGGCACCACCTACCCCGGCAGCTACATGTTTGAGCTACTGGAGAAGGCCGAAATCACGCACCACAAGAAGAATGTCATTCTGGAGGTTTTGGAGAAGCTGGTAAGGGTCTTCTACTTTTATCTTTCTATGTGTGTCTGTTATTTCTGATATCATATCTCCCTTTAGGTGATGAAAGTATACATATACAGAAATGGGGACATATTATTGCTTTTGTATTTTTATTATTATTATTTTTTTATAACAAAGTACTCTTGGTTTGTTTTTATTTTTCAAAGTGGTTGATCTCTAGTTCATGTTTTGATTTGATTCTCAAAACATTTTCCAAGCTGTCAAGGTAACTGGAATGCTTGCCTGATTTTAGTTTTCAAAGAAAGAGTAATTGAAGGCACTTAAAAGATAAGAAGGGGCAGTTGCTCCCCCCAGTCGTGGGTTGAAAATTTTACGAAGCCGACAGGCATAGACGCCTGAAGCAGGAAGTTGGAAGTACATTGAAAAGGGACATTGACAAGAATCTGAAGGCCACGGTTGTCTAAAGAGTTCATGGAGGTTATGCATGTCCTTATCTCCCTCTTTCTCCGTTACAGGTGCAGTATCTGACGACAAACAGCGCCTCCCCATTCCAGCGAAAGGGAGCAGGCCTGCAGAAGTTTTCCGAGTTGATCAAGGTTGTATTTAGCAAAGACAACTTCTCTCTCCAGCACATGGAATATGTGAAACAGTGCTACAAGGTACGAATGTTATTGCAGTGTTATATACAGTATGTTATCATTGTACTTCGTAATATGGTAACTTTTTTTTTTTTTTTTTTTTAAGTCTTTGACTAGATGTAATTTGTAGGGTGTGACTGTGTGTATTATTAGCATCTAACTGGAAATTGTGTGATTCTTTTATGAGTGGAGCTTCCTAATTCCAGTATGTTGCCTGCCTGTTATTTTCTGTGTTTAAAGGCATGTGTTTTCATATTCCGTAATTTTGATTGATGCAGATAATATTAACTGTATATTCAATCTTCAGTATTAACCCTTTGGCACTGGATACATGTGCTGTCCGCTTTAGTTTTGCTTTGTGAATTTTATTTATACACAGATGGCTCCACAAGTGCTAAATCACCAGGCAGTCGGTTACTTCGACCTTTGACATTACATATTTATGTAATATCTTGAAATTTTTGGGAATTTATTTTTCTTATTACTATTAATACTGCTATTATTATTATAGTGTTGATACTTTCACAAAAAATTTAAGGAGTAGGATAAACAGGTGAGAATAGTATATAATTGACTTATTGGTAATTTAGCACTTGTGTGTAAATGTAGTTAATAAGTTAAAATCACAGTGGATATAACATGCATCTTCTTGGAATCAATGTTTTGATGGGTGACTGGAAATTAAACACAAGATCTTTTTGCATTTATGATCATCCTCATTAGATGGCCAGATCTGCCATGTCATCTTACACAGATCTTTGGTATAGTACATAGGCATATATTAATAATTGTTTTTAAATATGGTGTAAAGTAGAGAGATTTTTGTCAATATTAGCATCACTTTGGCGGGACCCACACTCATCTGTTGTTGTCTCCAGGTCCACGTGAGCATGGAGGAGAACAAGAAGAAGGGTGGCGCTCGTCAAGATGGCTGGGGAGCCGTCAAGACCACCAACGTTAGCAATAAAGTTGGCCGAGTCATTTCATATTGGTGCTTCAATCCCGGTTTTGGGTTAGTTATCTGCAGGGTGGCTTTGTTTTGTTGTACTGATCTTTATTTGTGTTGTCTTTATTCCTTTGTTTTTGTACTTCCTTGTGCTTATTTTTTTTTTCTGTCTTCCTTACTTCTCGTTTCTTTCTCGCCTCTTTTCTTTTCTTCTCTCTCTCTTCTTTTTCCATGATCTTTTGTCTTCATTGTGTCCCTCTCATTAAAGAAATAAATATGTGATTTGGATTATCTAACTTTTCATTGAATAAACCTTTTTCATAATGCATTTTTAAGATGTCTTACACACATTCTTTTGTTCCTTCCCTCCTGACAGTATGAAGGACCTGTCCGAACAAGGCATTAAATGCATCCTCCTCACCAGTGGAACTCTGTGTCCGCTCGAGTCTTTCACCTCAGAACTGCAGGTATGGTATGTGTGTGTTCTCCTTCTTCTCCTTTTTTCCTCCTTTTTCTCCTTTTTTTTTTTTGTCTTCATCATTGTCTTCTTTTTCCTTTTCTTTTCTTTTCCTCTTCTTCCTCCTCTTCCCTCTTCCTCTTCCTTTCCTTCCTTCCTTCCTTCCTTCCCTTCCTTCCTCCTCCTCTTCCTCCTCCTCTTCTCTCCTCTTCCTCTTCCCTCCTCCCTCTCCTCTTCTTCTCCTCCCTCCTCCCCTCCTCCTCCTCCTCCTCCTCTCCTCCTCCTCCTCCTCCTCCTCCTCCTCCTCCCTCCTCCTCCTCTCTTCCCTCCTCCTCCTCTCCTCCTCTTCCTCCTCCTCCCTCTCCCTCTCCTCCTCCTCTCCTCCTCCTCCTCCTCTCCTCCTCTCTCTCCCTCTCTCCCTCTCCTCCTCTCCTCCTCCCACTCCTCTCTTCTTCCTCTCTCTCTCCTCTCATCTCCCTCTCCCTCTCCCTCTCCCTCCCCTCTCCTCTCATGACTCTCTCTGCCTCTTCCTCCCCCTCCTATTTTGCCTTCTATTTTTGCATTGCATGAAACCTCTGAACACTTGTCCCTTTACAGGTTTCGTTTCCGATCCAGCTTGAGAACCCACACATCATCCAGCGTCACCAAGTGTGGGTGGGCACAATCTGCAACGGGCCAGATGGCTTCAACCTCAATTCATCCTATCAGAACAGGTGCAGACATTTTTGATTGCTATTTACTTATTTGTTTTTATGATTTTCTTTTTTTATTTAATTTTTTTTTTTTTTTTTTTTTATTTTTATTTTTGTATTATGTTTTAAAGGGGCCCTGTATTGCAATCTGATGCAGTTCTAATGGATTGACACTTAAAAGAGTCGCTTTTATTGACTCATTGAATCCACACAAAAAATGAGCTTTTATTTTTGGGGTTTATGGATGAAAATTTACAGTATGAAAATTTGAATACAGTTATTTTGTAGAATTTTGAAACTTGGTACAGTTTGGCTTGCATCCTCACTCAAGGGTGGAATGTATATATTATGTATGTTGTTGTTCTACCTTATTATTGTATCAGAAATGTAATATGAAGTGAGACAACCGTAATCACACAATACTTTTCGTTGTTGTAGTGTGAGAGTCAGACCATGTAACGTCACCTTGCTATGGAGGCTCTACAATGATACAAAAATGATTTCAGGATAAATGTCTGATCTTTATAACATGTATATTCTTGTCATTGTTGTCTCAGGAGTGACCCACGCTACATCAGCTCGTTGGGGCAGACCATCCTGAACTTCTCCCGCATCGTGCCTGATGGCTTGCTTATCTTCTTCCCCTCCTACCCCATTATGCGGAGCTGTCGGGACGAGTGGCAGAATTCAGGCATCTGGGGCAGGATTTCGGCCACGAAGGTGAGGGCTTGGCTGCAATTTGGAGGCTATGTTTTCAGACCATTTACAACTATGCTGTCTTATAGAAAAAATGGTGGTTTTGTCTCCCCCTACATGAGGATGAGATCCCTAATAGCAATGTCCTTTTTTTTGTCCTTTTCCTCCTCAGCCGATCTTTGTGGAACCCCAGACAAAGGACGAGTTCCACAACGCCATGACAGAGTACTACCAGAAGATCAACGACCCGGCGCTAAAGGGGGCGTGCTTCATGGCGGTCTGCAGAGGCAAGGTAAGGCAAGGGGGGAAGAGGGGAAGGAAGGAAAGAAGGGAAGTGCAAGAGGAAGAAGGAGAGAAGAAAGGAAGGAAGGAAATAGAAAGGAAGGAAGGAAATAAAAGGAAGGAAAGAAGGAAGGAAGGAAGGAAGGAAGGAAATAAAAGGGAAGGAAGGAAGGGGAATGAGGGAGAGAAAGAGAAGAATTGAAGGAGAGATGAGGTAGGGAAGGAAGAATGGAGGAAAGAAGGCAGGGAGAGGAGGAGGGAGGGAGGGAGGGAGGGAGGGAGAGAGAGAGAGAGTACAAGGAATTGAGAGAAGGAAGGAAGACAAAGAGAGGGGATGAAGAGGAGGATAGGAGAGGGAATGATAAAAAGAAAAAGTAAGAAAACAAAAACGAACAGAAAAAAATAACCAATGTACACACGTTTTCCTCTAATTTCACAACAGGTCTCGGAGGGTCTGGACTTCGCCAACCGCAATGGCCGGGCAGTTATCATCACAGGCCTCCCGTACCCCCCCTTCAAGGACCCTCGAGTGATGCTCAAGCAGAAATACCTCGAAGAAACCAGACTCAAGAATAAGGTACGGAATGCGAGATTTATTTTTATTTTTCATTTATTATTATTACTCTTTTTAATCTATATATATATTTTTTATTAGGTTAGCAATATTGAAAATGATGAATGGTATCAAAAATGGTTAGAAAAATTGCAAAAACGTTAAAAACTCCAAGTGAAACTATTGCGCATATATGCTTAATTCATTATTAACTATCAAAGGATGACTTACTGCAATTATTTTTGTTAGGTTAGACTGATAGTCAAAGGCAGAAGACAACAAAAATGATTTTATAATGATTTTTTCCCCCCCATTAATGTTTTAGAGGTTTTCGAATATCTTATTTTTCCGTCTTGTTGGGATACATTATGCAGCACCGTCATAATCTGATTTGTGTAGTACACGGGGCAAAAGGTGTCATATGTCGTAACTGCTAAATATTCTGTTCCTATATTTTCACAGTTTTAAGTCTTTTTTTTTCCCATAATGAACACACGCAAACTGATTTATCCCATCTTTGAGGGGTTGTCGTTTGTTTACACTTTGAAATCATTGCGGTAATGATATAGAATTATATATATCAAGAGCAACGTAAAGCACACTACAACCCCGTGGAACTTGCTCTTCAATTGCAGGTGGGTTTGACGGGGCAGGAGTGGTACAAACTGGAGGCGTCGCGTGCTGTGAACCAGGCGATTGGGCGTGTGATCAGGCACAAGGATGACTATGGTGCCATCATCCTGTGTGACAATCGCTTCGCTGCCCCAAATTTCCGCACGCAGCTGTCCGCGTGGGTGCGCCCCTTCATGAACTCCTACAGTACGTTTGGGCCTGCGCTCAGAGACATCATACAATTCTTCAAAAATGCTCAGGTCCTGGTGAGTTGTGGGTGGGGAGGGAGGGGGAGGGGGGGTTGCAGCTCTTTGAGTTTGTTGATATTTGTTTTATAAGTACTTGCTTGTTTTAAGGTTGTTCTTTTCTTAAGGTTAAGTTCTTTTCTTGTCTTTGTTTCTTTTTTTTTATATTGCTGTTTTTTTTTTCTGGTTCAGAGGCTTGTGCTTTTTTTTTTTTTTTTTAATAATTATTCTTATTATAGCCTAGCATTTCCATTTATCAGTTTGTTCTTATTTAACATTTTTTTACATTTTAGATATTGTTATTAGCCATTTTATGTATATAAACTGCCAGTACAGACAAATTTGAATTGCTTTTGATCCCTTTCTCTAAGCCTGAGCTTGAATCCTTCCAACGCCCTCTCTCACCAGCTGCCCCAGCCTGAGGAGAAGAGTGGGAAGCCATCAATCAGTGCGGCGTATGAAGAGCCCCCAGCAGCAGTGGGTGCAGCGCCGGTTCATGCACACGCACTGCAGGCAGCCCCCGCTCGTCTCGTTGTCTCAGATGCCACCCGCCAGAAGATAGGACAGGCCCTCGCAGAGAAGGAGGACTATAACAACATGTGGTCGAACATGAATTATAAAAAGTCTGACGGAGCAAGCGAGAAGAGGGAAGGGGGCGATAAATCGCTGTTCTCAGCCCTGGAGAAGAAGACGTCAGTGGTGGACTTCAACTCGCTGCAGAGCACATCACAGGTGAGCTGCAAGTATGATACCCTGCAGGTGGGCAACAAGAAGAGGAAGATCAAGATTGTGTCAAAGGGTGAGAAGGATTTGGCAGACTTCCTGAAGGGCCCCGGACCAAGCCAGGCAGCGAGCCAGGCATCGCAGGGCGTGACTGCAGAGGGTACGAGTTGCTCCCCCGAGATGTTCTCCTCCCCAGGCAACTCGCAGGAGCTCATCAGCGGAGCGCAGAAGAGCACAACAAAGGCATCTTCGTCAGGCGTTTTGGGGTCTGGGAAGGTCTCCACGTCGGCAGCAGTGGCAGCCATTTCGTCCGGAAAGGAGAACGGGGAGACCAAGAAACTCGGATCCATTGCCGACTACATTAAAGATGTGAGTTGCTTACAGAGCTTGATCATTTTTACACAAATACAATGTATAGATAGGTAAAGGTACATATGTATAAGGATATTGAATTGTATTGTGAATTCTTGTCAATTATATGTGTAACTAAAGAGTTGAAAAGCTTCTTAGGGCAACATTCTTATTTTTGTAATTTGAACCAATGAGATTTTGATATTGAAGACATTTAGGTATTGAATGTACCTGCACTCAGTCTCTCTTTTTCCCGAAGGTGAAATCCCAGCTGAACAAGGAGCAGTATGGGCTCTTTTCATCGGCCGTTAAGAACTACCAGAAGAGCAAGGACTATGATACTGTGGTGGGCACTCTCGCCTCGCTCTTTTCTCAGGATGTTGAGCATCACAGACTCTTCAGAAGTGAGTTATAGGCTTGGTTAATTTTATTGTCAATCTTAATTTTGTTGGTATACTATATTTGTTTCAGTAATGTTTATGATCATATTTTACATTATGATTTGTAAATGTATTCACATTTTGAGATAATTACTGGGTAACTAACCTATTAGAGTTGCATACAATTTTTTCTTTCCAGTTGCTGTTTTCCCATTTTTATAAAATGAAGGAAGTACAAGGAAGTATGAGTAAATTATAACGTTGCAATTTTAGCCAAACCCAAATGTAATGCTGTGCAATCTGTTCTCCATTCTAGAATTCGAGCAGTTCCTGAGCAAGGACCACAGACTTGCATTCAGACAGTCGTGCGAGGAGATGCTGGACAGATAGTCCATGCGACCCGTCTAGTCTTTCTACCCTCTTTTCTTCTTCACTTTACGTAGCTGTGATGTTTGCGTTCTTCCTTGCAAGTGAAGCATTGGTAAACGCATAAAAAGAAATCGGAAAATTTAAGAACGGAACCAGTGGAATTTTTTTTATGTCACATGAAGATAAAGGCTTTATGTCCGTACATATGGCTGAAAGTGAAAATAAACATGAGAGTATGACGTGTGTACATATGTAATTACTGAAAGAGGATAAGTGTGATATTGTTTTTTACTTACAAGTTTCCTATCTTAATATTTATGGTCATGTGTACAGTATGTCTAAACCTGTATAGTATGTATGCGTAAATACAAAGCACGAATGAAAAGCAAGTAGAAAGATGTTATTCAGATGTTATCGAAAATGATTCTTTTTTTAGATTTTTGTCTATTTTTATACTGCTGTGTGATTTATTTAGTGTTTGAACTGATAAGAAAAGTATTTATTTTATATTTAAGAGTAAGTAAGATGTATTCATTAATATGATAGAAGGTGCAAATAATTTGCATCACGAAAATGTGTAATTTTAGTTGCATTTTATTTTTTGTGTATATTAAATTTTTTTTGACAGAAAGCCATTTTAAATCACACTTTTTTTTTAGGTACAAAACCATATTTTTTTATTCAAAGCACACTGTAAGAGTAAAATATTGAATTAGTGTGTAAATATATGCAGTATACAGAAAGTCTGCCATTATC